AATAGGTGAGTAGGTAGATAGATATATATATTAGTGAACAAATTAGTTAAGGGTATAGAAATAAAGTGAGTATTTGTAATATAAAAAGAAATCATTAAAAATAAAATGCAGAGAAGAGATTAAATGAAATGGTTTTAATTATTGGCTTGTATATATTTTTTAATCATTGATTGTGTATTTGTTACTTCGTAATGTAACATCTGTCCTAGGGATATTTGTGTATAGTTAAATAAATAATTAGATAGATAGACAGATATATACAACGATGTATGGATAAATTAATAAAAATAAAGAGAACAAATGTAATGTGACTAAAATCTCTCATTTTACGTCGAAACACATGAGTAAAATAGTTGGTGGGTAAAAACAAGTCACAATGACTTGATTAAATGTAAGATGTAATTAATGAATTGTTGGTGAATAACAAATTCATGAAGGCATTTGCTGAATCAGTAGGTAAGTTCTATAACCAGAAACACAGAAAGGAAGAGAAAGGAAATGAGATAGAGAAATGTAAACAGAAAATAGAAAAATGTAAGGAAAACAAAAAGATCACGATCAAAGACCATATAGCTATGGGATTTGAAGGAAGACATCAAAAGAATTAATATCACTTGGTAGCAAGTAACATGTAACTTAAGACAGAGTTAATCAAAGATTTTTGATCACAGGCCTATGCTTTATGAAGTTTACACATTAAGCAGTACTGAGAAAAATTTCACTGTATAAATTAGTTTGTCTAATTATTATCCTGCTTCAATAAAAGTGAAATATTTTACGAGTATACTTGTTAACTCAACTGTAAGGTATACCATAATTATTTTTACAAAACATGCAATTTGTTATACAAAACTTGTTCCACTTATTTAGATTTCTACCTGGTAGTTAGTTCAATAATTCCTAGTATAGTAAAAAATATAACCAGATAATGAATCTAAATTAGGATTAAATACAACATATTTCTATTGTTATATAAATGAATAACTAAACTTTCTGATACTTTTTCTTCTTAAATACATCATTATAGTGTAGTAATACTAATTGTACTTTTGTTTGTAACTCTCATTTTAAATGCATATCTATTGTCTCGGAATTAATGTTTGTGATTATCAATTGGGAAATTGTTTATTTTTCATTTTATTCAACATAATGTAATGAAGAAAGACCAGGGAAGCCACTTCTGATTAACAAAATATGTAGCCTTATTCTTCAAACTTCTATTTACAACATCAGCAAGCTTCTGATTGTCTTCTCTCACATTTCTTCTGGTTTTCAATATACTTTGGTAGCACCATGCATTTCCGTCTCCTGACACTCCTCTCTCTGTGACAGTAACTTCTAGGCAACGCTTGCATACTACTCATTCACCACTATGTGAGTAGCATCCACTACGCCAGTACTCTAGACAATAATTTTAATCAATTTTTAAATATTACCATTAAGGAGACTGTTAACTATCACAAAAACACATACAGTTTTTCTGACGAAGTTTATCTTACTTCAATTTGTATAACTGATTTGAACATGAAATGAATTTCTACATCTAACATTAGTAATAATACCATAATCTAATGTGTATATGAAAAACATAAAATTTAATGACTTTTACAAATAGATATATTCATTTAAACAGAAATTAAAATTCGAAAACTTTTTTCCGCAAGAATATTGTAATAGAAGAACTGATGTTTGATTTATGACTGATTTAAACCGATTGTACGCATGTTTTTTAGCATAACATTAACCTAGAAAGTGAACAGATCACAATGGAAATCTGTGTAATAACTGAACATACAATATTTTATCATTTAATAAAAACGCAATAATTTAAACACTAATTGGTAATGTTGAATTAGTGAAGATAAACAATATTACAGCATCAGATTTGCGTTACATGTAGTTAGATAAGCATCAACATAACATATTTTCAAACTCTATGGTATATTCCACTTCGTGAAACCATTCAAGCCTATTTGTCTAAGTCATTTTTTTCTAATTGTAAGTAGTCAGTTTTTTTTTTACTTCAATGAGTTAAGCTATTGCAATTTCATTTTATTTTTAATTGAATAATTATAAAGTTGATGAATAAAATAATAATAATAATAATAAAATGAACTTGAGGCTAATACATCTACATATTTACAGTTTTCATCAAGAGACTATCATTCCTTCAAATTGTTTTGTTCGCACTCGGTCACTCACTCACTCTCTTCCCTATACACACACACACACACACTCATCATGATTTCTCTGATTAAAAGCTATCAATATAATTAGAGCTTTTAATCTAATTGAGTTCACACTTTCATTTCCTGCAATAGTGGGGTATACATAGGTGTGTGTGTTTTTTTTTTTAAAAACAACCTTCAATTTTTATTTTATATATTTAGTTATCTTTTTTTTCTTCTCTTCTCATGTTATTGAAAAGAAACAAAAAACCCTTTCGTGTATTTTAATCATGACAAAAAATAAAGTGAGAATCATCATACAAATGACGAAGATGATGATGATGATGACAGGATATCTAAAAGTGTTCTTCATTGTATTGCATAGATAGATAAGTAGAGATATTTATAAAATACATATATGTGCACACATACATACATTATTATCAAATAAAATGTCTACATATAATTTACACCAATTTTTAAAAAAAAATGACCAATTTATAATTTTAATTTCAATTGTTAACCTTTTCACACGTCTATATACATATCCATCTATCTATCTATTTAACATACATGCATGTATATATACATACAGTATACATGCTTATGCTGGTAATAATTGCATTCTCATAACGGTAGTATACTGAGTAAATTCGATTTCCGGACTTGGTTTCAACTCAAACTGATATGGTTGTAATCGTTTTTGAGTAAGAGAATTGAAGGATTTCCATTCATATGAGAAGTGGAAAAGGCAAAAGATAATGATACTGGTAAGAGGTAGAAAAATTGAATGTTATCAATTCACATTTGAACAGCAAATAAACACATACAATGAAACAAGCGAACATGTATGCTTATAAATATGAAGAACTAATAAGTATAGAGTAATTACACATAAAATTGATGTGTTGACCCCAAAGATAAGATATAATAATAATAATAATAATAATAATCAGCGTATTACATATATACAAGCTTAGACATGTATACACGGTAAAAATGACCTCCGGATGTCAGTTGAAATAAGTCAGATTAGTCTTTCCCTCTTTGTTGTTGATATTTTTAAGAAAAGTCGCATACAAAAGCAATTCGAATAATTGAAATGATAATTTTGGAAGAAATAAAAAATTAAATGTTTATAATGCTTACATATTCTCCTATTGTCGTAAAAACAATCAAACTATATACGAACTAAATTAAAAAGAAGATTCAGTTCTAATCAGAAGTTATGACAATTAGAGTTCAGTCTCGTTAGTCTATGGACAAATATTGTCAGTGACTTAAGGCCCTAGATCCAATTCCTGGCTGTGAGTTTGTAGATGCTCACTGGTGAAGAGTTCCGAATTAAGGCGAAACAGTCATCTAGTAAAATTAGTTTGTAATTTTGAACTATGAAACTTATTAGTAAATCTTACCATAGATTAAATAAATTTATTTATTTATCTATTAAGTTTTAATAGCTGTTTTAATTTACATTATTTTTAATAAATTAAAAGGCATAAAAAGCGTTCATCTACTGTAATCTATACTTTTATGCTTTTTAAAGTCTGTTCAACTTGTATTTCACATAGTTCACTTTGCCTCGTTTCCTCTAGCATTCATTATGTACAACGGTTTTTATGTAACACTAGATTGTGTATATGGCTTTGATATAAATTTTTTGAATATTAGTTGATGATTCTATTCAGTTGGTTAGGAAATAAATGCAAAAAGGATTTCAAACCTATTTTTGTCACACCTTTAAACTGAATTTTTTTGACATGGTGCCCTGCTTGAATGTTTAGGTTATCCGTTTACAAACATCGAAACATTTCAAAAAGTTATGTCTTTGTTTTAACAAATTAATCAATACTACTAATTGTATGGTCTGTTCAAATGCATATATGTTTATAAAACCTACGATTTATCACTCTTCACTAAGTACAAAAAAGTACAATTCAAGATATCGCCGTGGCTGGCAATATGCATCAAAAAGAATAACCGTTGTTCAGATGTCAATTCCAGAACTGTTTACTTCCAACTGCTTATCACCAATAGTTTTTGTAAAGGAAACTTGCTGATACATACCGTGCTGAGAATCCCATACTGCACTAGACATGTAGTATTGAACAAAGCCATTATTACCAATGCTAGCTCATACTATATAATGACAAACCCGAAGACCTATCAACTATACAACATAGTCGTCTTGAAATTCGTATTTGTGATCTAAATGACTCTGATGAAACAATAAACATCTGACTATTTGTCTTCAAGAAAGTATATATGTATAATAACAGTATGAGCTTCTTTGAAATGAATTTCTCTCTCTAAATAAAAAAATTTGCTTCAGAACCAGTTTACTTAACGAAATGAATGAAGTTGGAAGTATTCGCCGCTGGGCAAAGACTTTACACAGATTACGAGGATTGAAAATATTGCTTTTGATGCTGTATTTGATGGCAAATGTCCACTGCCTATTATTATTATTATTAACTTATTATTCACGTAAACAACCAAGTAATTGGTTTTCAGTCCTACTCTGAGTATGAAAGTTAGTGATACCAAGCAGTTGTCCAAACAGAGGTAGGTGGAGCAGAATTCAAACCTGCTACTCAACACATGGAGTTCGAATGCCTGAACCACGGCCTAGGTATCCATAATCAAGCAGAAAGAAACTGTCATTCCGATAAGCAAGTACACAATTGTTTGATCAGCTTCAAAACACTTTGAAATATCGATATAAGCGGTTAAGCAAAGTTTAAAAAATGCCAATTTACCAAGATTAGTATCAACAGATTCATTTAGATTATCAACAAAAAAAAAATAAGCAAATTAATGGATGATACCTACCTGAATGTTTTCGATAATGTATTCTTAAGGCACTTGTACAATTAAATTGTTTATTACAAAAATTACATTTACGTGATTTATTATCAGTTGAATTATTTGGTGAATTAGAACGCTTTCTTTTCGGTGCATTGAAACTACCACTTAATGTGGAATCAGTTAAATTTCCACCTCCACCTCCACCTCTGCCTCCACCACCACCACCACCGCCACCACCACCGATACTTCCTTCACCTCCACCTTCAAGATCACTGGAATAATTCTCACTGTCAACACTTAGATGACGTGAATTGTTTAATTTATATGAATTGTCTGTTATGTAATTATGTTTACATGTTGATAAAAATTGTTGATCAAATGAATTTGTTGTTGCTGTCATATTCATTGGTAGATTTGAATCTAATTCTGTAAATAATTGATTTAATGCACGATTCGATTGTAGCGGATTAATAATGGAATGATTTGTAAAATCTAATTCTAAATTACACGGCCATATTGAATGTGTAGATATTGATGATGGCGGTTTTTGATTTAAATGATTCAATGAAGAATAATTATGAGTTATTGGTGTTGTCATAGTTGTTGTCGCCAGTGTTGTTATTGATGTGATAGCCAACGGTGATATTGACGATGACGATACAGATGAGGAAGACGTTGGAGATCTGTTCAATGAATCAGGAGATATATTACATGTCTTATTTATAATAAAATTCAAGGCATGATCTTTTAGTCCAAATGAAGTAGTATCGATATCAAGTAGCTTTTGAACAATATCATTGGAAAGTGTTGCACCATGTGGAAAATTTAAACTATTATTTATATTAGTTAAACTATTCAATAGTTTAGTAAAGTGATTAGGACTAAGTTCGTTTACGTTGGTTGGAACAGCTGGTGTTTTATCATTATTATTATTATTATTACCAATAGTGTTTGTAGTAGTAGTATTATTAGTAGTATTAGTACTAGTAATTTCAGACGGTAGTGTGTTCAAAAGAGTGCTTAATAATTCAGGATTTGTAAGTGCGGCTGTTGCAGCTAACAATGTTGGGTTTGGTAATGGCTGTCCAGGTGTATTAACCAACAAAAATTGACTTAATGCTGTTACAATAGCTGCAGAAGCGGCAGCAGCAGCTGCTGCTGAATTAATATCAGCTGAATTCAATAGTGACATATTATCCATAGATGTATTAGATAAACGATTATCAAATGGATATGTTTTATTCAAATTTTCTGGCAGAATTTTATTTATATCTGTTTGTTCAATAGATTTTAAAGTATTATGTGAATATGGCAAATTTGAATTAAGACCATTGAAAGATGTATTTGAGTTGAGATGAAATGCACCAAGTGGATTTGAAAGCGAAGATGATGGTAGTAAACTGTTTGATATGGGACCAAGTTGAGCTTCTATTTATGAAAAAACAATAATAATAATAATAGGAACAGTATATAAAATAGATCTGTTTACATTATTATCTAATATTTATAGAAACGTTGTAGTTGATATGTTGAATCATTCCATTGAACGCTTAATGTTCAATTTGTATCTACTAACTTGTCACTTATGTGTATCAATGTTCAAGTCAAAAATATTACACTGAAAATTTCCAGATTATTCGAATAACTGATAACCTTTTCAACTGTACCAGATGGAAGATGACAGTCTGAATTCTAGTCGAAGTAAATGCTAATTAGGTTTGAACGAATTATTATCAATAGTTCTAATAGAATTATTCACTAGATTGCTTCACGAGGTGTAAGTAAGTCAGCAGCAAATAAAAACTACTTTAAATAATGAAAATACACATAAACAAATGAATTTTATTAGTCATATATTGAGTAATAATAGATGAGTATAGTGAATTATATTGAACATAACACTGAAGTAGATAACAGTGTGATATTGGAAAAATTCATGGTTATTTATTTTAATTTATCATAGTCGGATACAGTTTATTTTGAATAATTTTCATGAAGAATTGAATATTATTTGTCAACTTAGAAAATTTAGTACTTCAAATAGGATGAAATAAATATATTATTCAGAGAAAGCGAACAATTGGTGTAAATATAAGCTGATAAAGAATATTTTCAAATTTTACGAGGTTGGTGGGTTTTAAATTATAATAGCAATGGTGAAAGTATCTAGATGAAATGGCTCAATATGAAAAATAATAAAATAATTTAAGTTCTGTTTATTTCTTTTTTCCATTTGTTCATAGTAATTTTCCCTTTCACTGTCATCAGTATGCATAGGATAGTTAACATCAAAGCCCTACCATACGGTGTTCAGTATTTAAATGTTTTATTTTGTACTATTCAGTCGTACTCGCTTTTCTTTTAATCAAAACACAGAAGCTACTCAAGTAACCCCCAAAAATAACTAGATACATGGTGGAAAAACAGCTTCCCTTTTGCATATTCTAAAGTCTTATTTATTAAGATAGGTACTCCACTGAGTACTTCTGTTTCAAGACTGTTTTCCTCACCAAACGACAACTGGTATCTAAGGAGTAATGTAAACTCGTTTTGTTATTGCATGTGACTCTTTATCATTGAGAAATCACCTTCAAGGAATTTTCAGTTTGCAAAGAAAATTCCCTGTAAATTATACACAAATTTACTGAAAAATATATGACTTAATGATTGTATAACTCCTTATGAAGCTATTAGACTGTTACTGCCAGTAGCAAGTCCGGGTAAAAAAGGAGGATTATGAATGGAGTTAGCAGCTTCATCTCGCAGAAAAAAGCCCTGCTATGAGACAAACCAGAATAAATCATTTAAACTATTTCAACACTGGCTTGATAGTTGAACGTTCTTCATGTAAAGCAGTTACGATGCTTCATGATGGAAGTCTAGATGCTTCAGAAATCATAAGGTTAATTATCCTTTTAATAATCGGAGCGACAATTGGAAGTGGTACACGGAATATCCGCACAATTCAGGAGACCTGGGGATCATCTGAATAGCTACGAAAATGATAAAACCTGGCTTGCATAAAATAAATGAAACCCATTAGAAAAAATCAGGAGAGGAGTTGGTTTGTTAGAGGCTCTGTTGTCTTTTAATTATGAAGGAGAAAACACCTCATAAATAAAGAGTATTTCAATGATATTTTCCAAAATATTAAGAAAAGGCATATAGAATAGGAGTTTCATGGACCCAGGATCATTAAAACATCTATCGAAAGAAAGGAGAAGATTACAATATGTATTATTCTTTGCTACGTATCCGCTACTGATGGCAGCGGAGACAATAAAATCAGTTTTAGGACAGACTACGATTTAGAAGATGTAACCAATCTGATGGGGGACCTGAACTTCAAATTGGGGACGAACAACACAGGGTATGAAAACATCATGGGTCAACATGGACTGAAAGAAAGGAACGAGAATGGTGACAGATTAGTAAATTTATGTGCTTTAAATAACATGCTTATAGGAAGAACCTGAAACATGAAGCTGCATGAGTTTCACCAGACCACACTAGAGTATAATAAACATGTGATAGATAGTTCCAATTTTCCATAATTGTTTTCGAAGTTTTATCAGAAAACTTTAAGCTTTTGGAATGACACACCTACTAGGAAATGACCGGCTGAGTACTGAACTTCCCTACAAATTGATTGATATTGAAAATGTGATTTGTTGGACTATGTCTCAATGGTCTAAGTTTATTGTTTATATAGTGAAGGTCTTTGATGCTTTCCTGTGCGAGGTTTTATTAGTGTAAACTTAACAGGTCCTATAAAAGATTAGACTGCTGTCTATAGCTGATATCAGTTCACGATCAAAATTATCTCTAAAATAATCCAATTAATGTATGTCCTTTAAGAACTACTCATTTTTAGTGGAATTCTGTTTCAATGTTCAATGATATCGAAAACTGACTTCCATATTATTAATCTAGTTTTATTCATAAATTACAAACGAAAATTCCAGCCGACATCAATTCTTGATGTTGTTCATAAAAAACTTAATGAACGGTACACATTCACTCATTTCGTTTGTAGTAATAAATGATCACACGATAAACATATTTTGTAATGTGGGTCATAAAAGCATTCGCCTACACAAACAAGCAAACAAACAAATAAATAGATATGTAGATGCACACAAAAGAACCTATTTGCAATGAGTCAGGTTTAAAAAAGAAAGGATGAAGTAAGCTAACTGGAAATATTTGCGTAATCTTTCCTACCTCCTTCATTTTTTTTAACACAAATAAACTGGTCATGACAGGAATGGTAAACTAATTATTAAAAGAATAGAAAAAAAAGATTAATTTCATACAATCATTAAAACTGTCTAAGCTTCCATGATAAAAGGGGAAATAATGTAGATTGATACAAATTAGGAGGTAATATAGAGAGAAAGAAGATAATTATTGAGTGCTGACTGACTGATTTTAATCTCCTCTTGTTTTATGTTCATGCCTTTTCTTATTTCTCTTTCTACAACATTTGACTCTATTACTTTACTTCTTAGCCTGAAATCATTCACCACCACTTTCTCAAAATTTATTTTCTTACAAATTGACCTTATTTGACCCGTAGAGAAGAAGAGATAAAATTTAACGCTCACCATTTATTTTTGATAAAAGACTACGAATACATGTTATTAATATGGATGTATGGATAGATGATGCTAACAATGATAATGATCCTGATCAATTTCTGTAGTGTATACATTGGGCATTTTATTACATCTTTTTAAAAAATATCTTACATTAATGATAGCAATGATAATCGTATTATAAAAGCATATATTCCACATTTTAAGTTAAATGTTTTTGCTCGGAAACCACTAAATATTAGATTGTAGTGAAATAAATTATTTTATGTTCGGTAGTTGGGCTTAATATTTATATGATCCATCGAGATGTAGTGTTGATTTTCATCATTGAATAAAATGTAGTCGGACTATTGCGGGAATCGATGTTCTCCGTGAGTTTCCGACTTATGCCATCCAGTGTCACATTTGTAGAGGTTACCATTATGAATGAACTTCTGTAGGACTGAACTGTTTAAACTAACCGATCAATTAATAATAAGAAAGGCCCTATTATTTACTCCACTAGAATGTCAAGTCACTTTGATTAACAGTTGCACAGATACTTGATCAAAGGAACTTCGTTGTTAATTGGTACTAGACAACAAGGCATCAGTTATTACTAAGTAGCTAATTAGTCTACATATTTATTGCAATCTAACAAGGGGAGGTTGAGTGGTATGTATCAACATTCCCCTCCCTAACTAATCTAGGATTCCCGAGTACCATAATGAGTTCGTTACCATCAATCCTATTCACTATATATAGCACAACCAAATGCGTATGTAACTGTTGGGTGTTTGTTAACTCTTCTAATTTGGTTGATTTTATGAACCAAGGCATTCAATCAGACCTCCAGACTATCGATTTCGAGTTATAATACCAAATGGTTTGTTATTTAATCTAACGGTTTCCCAAGTTTTTCGGTTTGAGTATGGTTTCAATCACTGATTGGTGTAAGTTGGTGTGCCATCAAGTGCTGTCAGACAAAAACATTTATTTTACCTTGATTTCATAACGTGATTGATGGACGGCAATTTTCCCATCAGATTCTAAACAACTAAGTTCAAACTCCTTAAAGCTCAAGGTTAAATGATAATTAATTCAAACTAAGAATTAAGTATTCATCTGGTGATCATTAATTCTGATCAGTGATTATTCAAGTCAATCAGAAATTTAATGGACGGACTTCATGAGGCTGAAAAAACGAAGAGGTCAATGAAAAGTTGCCTCTATTTATGGAGTTTCAAAATATCCCTGAGGTTCTCAGTAGAAGAATACATCAAGTATCCGAATATTGAGAGCTTTGGTTTCTGTAAATTATTCTTTGGGGAATTACCTATTCTATATCACATTATGCACACAATGTTTGATAATAATCTTATGAATATAAGGTATACATCAATACACAAGGAGATTAACATAAAATCGGCTGACCATATAAACAGGTCAAAAGTACTGGGTAACCATTTTTACTGCTATAATTCTTCAGGAGTTAACATACATAATACTAAACAGTATCATTTCAGTAACAGTGACCTAGTGATTAAAGCACTCGACTTCAATAAATAATAGATTTGGACCCAGGTTAGTTCGGGTTTCCTTGTATTCCTACTCACCTCTTTAACAATAAGATAAGTTAGAGCCGACTACGTAAACCTTTATATGACAAACGAATTATATTAAGTTGTTAAAAATAGAAAAAAAATTCTCTGGTTTCATGAATAACTCACAAAATTTCAAATTGATAGAAATAATCTTATGATACTGTGTAAACATACTTGTTTTGAATTGAATTCATTTAAAACTCATAAAATGTTACAATGTTCAGTATTCTTTGATATTATCCCTAAA